ACACACACACACACACACACACACACACACACACACACACACACACAGCCTTCCTCAAGAGCACTTTTAGAAGGCCTTGTCACCTGGATTAGTCCTGTTACTTTTTCCAGGTTCACGATCACCTGCAGCTGCTGTCCCAGAGGAGTAGATGCCCTTTTCTGGCCTCCATGTGGCGCGCGCGTGCGCACACACACACACACACACACACACACACACACACACACACATATACATAAACTATAAATAAAATAGAATAAATGACCAGCCATAGTAACATACACCTTGATCCAGCCTTTGGGGGAGGGAGAGACAGAAGCATTCGGATCTCTGTGACTTTTAGGATAGCCTGATCTACACAGTGAGTTCCAGGACAGACAGAAAGGAATAACAACAAAAACTGAGAACATTTAAGAGAGGAGAGGGCCGGAGAGACAGCCCAGTGACTAGGAGTGAATTTTGCTCTTGCAGAGGACTTACATTCTGTTCATAGGACTCACAGTTGCCTGTAATCTCTGCTCCAGGGGCTCAATACCTCCGGCCTCTGCGGGTGCCTGCACTCACACGCGTGTGTGTGCACACAATTTAAAATTATAAACGTAAAGAGAAAAAATTTTGAGAGAATGAGAACATGCTGACGTGGTGATCCCATCCTGAAATTTCTGCTACTCAAAAAACGGAGATAGGAGGATCATAAATTGAAGGCCTGCCGGGGGGTGGTAGCATACACCTTTAACCCCAGCACCCAGGAAGCAGAGGCAGGCAGATTTCTTGAGTTTGAGGAGAGCCTGGTCTATAAAGTGAGTTCCAGGATAGGCTAGAGAATCCCTGCCCCCACAAAAAAAGAAATCAATAAATAGATGAATAAATGAAGGCCTGCTTAGCAATTTACTGAGACCCTGTCTCAAAATACAAAGGTAAAACGTTCTGGTAATATAGCTCAATGGTAGAGTACATGCCTAGCATGTATAATGTCTAGGTTAGGTTTCTTCTAAGACATGCCATGCACACACGCGCACACACACACACAGAAGGGGGTAGCTTAATTGGTAGAGTGTGTATTTAGGATGCATTGGTTTTGGGGTTAGAGAGCAGAGCCACTGTCCCCCGACACACACAGATAGTCTCCTTGTGTGACTCAGCAGTGGAGTGCATGCACAAGGCCTTGGGTTCAATTCCCAGCATCAGCAATAACAGAACCCCTCCGCTCCAAATGCAAACTCTGCACTTGGCAACACTGTCCACTGTGGGCTGCGCCTTCTGGTTGGCAGTCAAGCCGCGTACACACAGCCTTGCTCGTCAGCACTCTGCACCACAGATCTTAGGTCTTTCAGTCATAACAATCAATTACTTTACACTCTCCTTGACGAGTTGCTTATAGTCTCAAGTCATTTTATGTGTGTATCCGTCCCTGGGAGACTGCCCCTCTTCAAGGACAGGGGCCTTCTTGCAACGCATCTCTTCAATTTTTCTCCAGGGTGCTTCCAAGGGCGCTAATTAACAGCACAGCAAACACAAACCAAAACAGAGTTTTAGTTTCTGTTGCCTGTGTGCCTTGTTTACCCGTAATTGTCCTGGTAAAGTACTTTTTCTCAAAGTGACAGGTAACCCTGTGGCATTTACCCACGGTGTCCCTCTGTGGGAAAGAGTAACGGGAGGACATGCAAGGCCCTCCGTTTGCTGCCAGGAGTCGGAAGGTAGTGTGTAGCTGTGGGCCCCGGAGGTGCTGCGTCACCAGGAGATGTTATTTTTGCTTCTGGTGTGTATGATGCGCATGTGGGGTGTGCGTCTCATATGTGTACGATGTGTATAGGTATGTGTGTATGGTGTATGTACGTGGTGTGTGTGCACGTGTGTAGTCTATTACATGAGTGTGTTTCATGCACACACAGGCCACACCAGGACGTGGGGTATCTTCTCCTGTCACTCTATCTCGCTACCTCAAGAGAGGGTCTCTCACTGAAGCAGAAGTTGTCTGGCGTAGGCTGACAGGCCAGCTACGGTCAAGGACGCCACAGTCCCGTCTCCACCGTGCTTGGGTTAGGGCGCACGCGGCCCCAGCCTGCCGTTTACCTGGATGTTGGGGACTGGAACTTGATCCCTCATGTCTGTGCAGAGCAGGTGCTCCTAGCCACGGTGCCTTCTCCCCAGGCCGTCTGTGTCTTCATTCAAGGAGAAGGGAGGCAGGGTTGCCTAAATTCATGCCCTATTTGGCTTTCCCCCACTGAATCTAACCAGTGTTCTTCCCACCGATTGACTCCTGCCAGCCGGCCAGCACCATCCTTTCCAAGTCAGACTGGAAGCAAAATCACACAGCTGGACCAGCAAACTGGCTCAGTTCCTTTGATCTGATGACCTGAATTCAACCCCTGGACCCTACATGGTGGAAAAGAGAACCAGCTCCAGAGGGTGGCCTCTGACCTGCCCTCAACATGCAGTCCATAATGGCAGGTACATGACCATCCCCACAGATGAATAATTGTAAAAAAGGTTTTTGTTTCTATGGTTTTTCAAGACAGGGTTTCTCTGTGTATAGCCTTGGCTATCCTGGAACTCTGTAGACTGTCCTGGCCTAGAACTCACAGAGATCCACCTGCTTCTGCCTACTGAGTACTGGGGTTAAAGGTGTGCACCACCACCACCCAGCAATTAAAAAAAAAAAAAATAGAACTAGTGGAGCACACCTTTAATCCTGATAAGCAGAGAAAGGCAGATCTCTATGAATCTGAGGCCAGTCTGGTCTACATTGTGAGTTCCAGGACAGCCAAAACTACACAGTGCGACCTTGTCTCAAAACACAAAAACAAAAAATCAGGAGATACTGTAGAGTGGCTGCTCCTGCAGAAGACCTGGATTCAGATTCAGTTCCAAGCACTGTCCCGTAACAGTTTCCTCCAAGATTAAAAACATTCTACCATGCAGGAAAACTCCTAAAGCAGGAAGGCAAACAACTCAAAAGAACTACAGGAAGTCCCTGAAACTGACCAGATTCACTAGGCCTGTCCCTCTTAGACGAAAGGAAGCTGAACCTGGAGGAAGATTCTCAGGTAAGTTGAGCTGTGAAAAAAGGCTCTTAGTAACCTGCCTGGAAGCAGAAAAGCAGCCCAGCTTCCTGGAAGAGGATTAGCGCAGTCACTCGGAAAGGCTACTCCAATCTGTCCAGCTGCCGGCAGGCTGTGTGCAGTGTGCTTCGGTCACCCGTGCTGGGGTGGCCTCGGTGATGCAGCCACCTCTGGGCCCTCTCTGCTCCTGTAACTAACCCCTCGCTCATATTCCTGTAAGTAACGCCAATAAACCTCGTTGGTTCGCCAAGCTGGACTCTGGCAGTACCCGTATTGTAGTCTGTTGTGGGTGGGTAGATTTGTGCATTGTGTCTCCCCAGGAAAAGTTTTCTTAGACAACAAGCAGCCACATGGCAGTTCACAACTGTCTTTAACTACAGCTCCTGGGGGTCTAATGCTCTCTTCTGGCAACACCTGTCTGTTTTTGTTGTTGTTGGTTTTGAGACAGGGTTTCTCTGTGGAGCCCTGGCTGTCCTGGACTTGCTTTATAGACCAGGCTGGCCTTGAACTCAAAGAGATCCAACTGCCTCTGCCTCCCCGAGTGCTGGGGTTACAGGTGGAGTATGCACATCTGTAAATCCTACCTCTTGAGAAAGTAAACCAGCGATTGCTAAAACTTCTAGGTCAGCTTGAGTTGGAGGGAGAGAGACCTGAGTTGTACAATTAGACCAGTCTATTTGTGATGGTGGGCAGTCACCAGAGGCTAGTTGTTACCTTACTTTAGAAATGTGGTCTCAGCCACATTTAAAAGCATTTATTGCTCATGCAGAGGATCCAGGTTCAATTCCCAGCACCCACAGGGAGGCTCACAACCATATGTAATTCTAGTCTCAGGGACTCTGATGCTCTCTTCTGACCTCTACAGCATTGGGCATGCATGAGGCTCACATACATACACAGAACATATTAAAGGTAAATGAATACAGCTGGACACAGTGGCACACGCCTGTAATCCCAGTATTCAGGGAGGCAGAGGCAGGTGGATACAGGGGGCCTGGGATTGCTCTCCTGCAGCAGCCTGTCCCTCTAATGTGTCACAACTTATTTTCTCACGGGGAGAAGAGCCCCAGGCAGTGTTGGTGCAGACCTAGACGGGAATGAGCCAGTTGGGTGGGGACAGACAGAAGCCAAAAGCATAGTGGATGAGTTTCTTACAGTAAATCCAGACCCGGGAGGCTGAGTGTAAAATGACACAGGTTCGCCTTTTCCCCAGCCCAGTGGGAAAATGTCCCAGTCACAGGACCCTGGTAGCTACTCATTCAATAATCGTTCATAAATTTCAGCTGCAAAAGAATCCAAATATCAGGCTGCTGCTTTAAAAATACGTCTCGCCAGCCGCTACCCAATTGTATGGGTCTGTTCTTTTCTTCACTCTGGGACCCTGTCTGGGACTCCCAGACTGGCTGGCATAGTGATCTTAGAATAACCCCAAAGGTAGGTCTTTCGTGCTCAGAAAGTCTGTCATTTCCAGACTTGCTTATGTACAATTACATTTTAATAGGAATGGAGAAGGCAGACCATTGCAAACTGTATGGAGTTCCCAAAGTAAGAAACACAATGTACTCACAAAATATCTGTACCAATTGCATTTATTGCTAGAATTTAAACTTTTTTTTTTCTCTTAAGTGTCTGAGAAGTAGATGACATAGGAAAAGACACCTGCACAGTCAGGGGAAAATCTTGTCACTTACAAAGTGCCACAAAGTTGATAAATGTAGGTTGCTAATAATTTTTTAGTATTCTTGATGAACAGGCAGAAATCACTGAATGCTCAGTGTAACAAAAAGAACATTTAGGCAGCTATAAAAACACTCAAAGGGGGATGGGGCTCTTGGCAACCTGGTCATCAAACGAATTGAACTTTCAGCCAGCAAGTGAACTGGCTTTAAGTGAATTCAAGTTTCAGTCAAGCGGGCTAGAACCAAGTCAAACTGTTCTGTTCTCTCCGACTTCCCCAAAGCCTTGAGTTGTGGGGCTGCAGCAAGATCCGAGGCGGGATCCCTTTTAAGTGGGTCTCATGATAAGCTACTGCTAGGGAACTAAGTGTCAAAGTCACCTGAGAAAAAAAAGAAGGAACAGCGGGAGCAAGGCACGCACGGGTACAATGTATCCACGTATGCCGGCTAGAGGGCTCAGTGCACTTAAACCAGGGGAGTGGGGCCAGCCGAAAGCTTCCCGACATCCCTCCCACCGGGCAAGTTTCACACCCAGAGACCTGCTCATGACGCTCCCCAGCTGAGCACAACAGCAACTGAGGGCAGGCCCCATTCAGCCTCCCCAGGTCCCTGAGAAACAGGCAACACAGGAAGCAGGGCCCCCCAGAGCTGGTTCTGGTCCCAGCGGACAGATGGGGCGTGCTCTAGTCCTTAGGGAGACAGCCAAGAAATGACTCATCGCGAAGTCCAGGGCTTCCAGCCCTTCAAGCAGACAAGGATGGGATACTGTGGGAAAGGCCTGGCTGACCCCACGTGTATGGAGGTTGCAACAGACTGGGGGCCGTTTCTGTTGATGCCCTCGTGTGATCCAGCACCGAACGTCCTCTGACTTACACAGAAACATACACGGGAAAAACACACCAGAATCTGTTTAGAAAGTACGGAAACGCGCCCGTGTGTGTGTGTTATATGCAGCACACGCTGCGCACTGGCTGCACACGAGGCTAGTCAGCCATCCCGGCAAGCAGAAGGTTCCTCCTCCACAGCCCATTTGGAATGTTAGGATCTTTGGGTCTCCGGCCTTTGGGGCCTCCCCAGAGAACTCCTCGCAAGGATTGCAGAGCGCGTTCCTTGTGGGCCTCGGCTGGCCAGACAGTTTCTCCACGGCGGTGACGGTGGCAGCAGGGACCACAGATCAGATATAGCTGGCAGGGGGCTGCCGGGCACTGAGTCGCTGCATGTGGCAGCCGTGGCAGAGCAGATGTCCGTCCAGAGGGAAACAGCAGCAGCCTTCCTCGTCGCTCAGCTGCATGCGGCAGTCCTAAGGAAGAAGGCAACCAGCTCAGTTCAACCCGTGCTCCCTACATGCTGAGGGCATCTCGGAAGGCTGTCTGTGCCGCTCGTGTCACACTCCCGAGGACTGGAAGGATGGAGGCAGCAAGGCGGGGAGGGTGAAGGGTGAAAGGGTGGGCAGGACGGAAGTGAAAACCCGAGAAACACCTCATCCGGACACCAGGTGTCGCTGCTGCAGTAGAAATAATGAGGCAAGCAAGCCCCGTCCAGCGGTTTAGACTCCAGACTCCGGGGAAGCCAGATCCACAAAGGTCTAAACAAGCCGGACCAGAGGGAGCAGAGGGAGCAGCTAGAGGACAAGAGACTGGACGGAGGTCACGGCAGTGTCCTAGTTTTTGTGTCCTGCGTCACTTCCACAGATGCCCAGCTGTTTCAAGACTGACTCCCCCTTTCAAATTCCAAGTCTCTCCGTCCTCCCTGAACCCTCATACTTACCTCACAGTGGTAGCACTCAAAGTGATAATCACGGTCCATGGAGATCACCCTCACGATGTCCTCACAGCCCTGAAACATGTAGAGCCCCAGGAGGTTAAGCACAGCATGGTGTCCCCCAAATCTCCATCCCATCCCACGGAAACCCTCCTGCTCAGGTAGCCAATCATAGAAGGGCCCCTCTCTGCAGTTGGATATAATGTAGCTATCACGTAGCTTTGAGACATTTTAAGCAACTACGGGAATGCTACCCCCTCCCCCACCACACTGCTCCAGGACAGTATGCCTCCACGTGTGCAGTTTTGTGGAGAGGGGCACCCTCAGCCTTACCTGCTTGCTCCCATGTGTACAAAGCAGGAGCAAGGGGGAGGGACGGGAAGAGGCAAGGCTGAGCACAAGACTAAGAAAGTGGCTTGTGGCTTTTCTCCTAGGCACACCCTCTCCATTCCCAGCTTCAACAATCCCTGATCCTGTTTTTACCAGCTTAAGGATAGATTCACCCTTTTTCAGTCAGTCCCTGTTATCTGGTGACCTTGACTTCCAAGAAAGCCTTGTTCTCTGGACAGGGGCAGAAGATAGGGAGCCTGGGCCCGGCAAGACTATCAGACATGTTTGGGTCCGGATGTTAGGTCAGGGCGGTGACCCCAAGAGCAGAGTCACACGGGAATCTTTAAAGAATGCACATTCCTCAGCGTGCCACTTCCCAAGGGAGGCCAGGCTGCATGTCCTCTCAAACACACTGACCTCTGAAGGGAGGATGGGCTGTCCGCAGGCTGCACATTTCGGGGCATAATTTCTGAAAGGGAAGGCAGTAATGAGCCACAGCGGAGGGCCCCTGGGCCCGTCCCATGTCTTGCCCCGGGGGTTGGACTCACTTGTGGTAGTCAGTGACACAGTACACCTGGTTGGAGAAGTCCACTGTGAAGGGGACGCCATCCAGGCACTTGTTACAGACGATGCACCGGAAGCAGCCGGGGTGATAGGACTTCCCCATGGCCTGGAGGATCTGGCTCGCAGGACGGGAGGAGGGATCAGTCTCTGTTCAGTCTCGCTCTCCAGCTACCCATTAAGTTCCTTTCCAACCCCCTCCTGTCCTCCTAGAAAAATTTGCTACATAATTTGTGGGGAACCAAGGACTCTTACAAGGAAGGCGCAAAAAACAAAACCAAACCTGAAAAAGGTCTCAGAAACTTCCACGCCTGTGGATTTTTGTTGCTATTTCTTGAGACAGGGTCAAACGAAAAGACTGGCTTTTAAAACTCTATGTAGCGGAGGATGACCTTGAACCCCGAACCCGGATCCTCTTGTCTCACCTCACTCTGCCTGGCTTGTACCGTGCTGAGGCTGGAACCCAGGGCTGTCAGGTGGCATTCTGCAGAACTACAGCCTCAGGCCACACCTAACTCTTTATTACAACTCGTGGTGGGTGTCAGAATTTTTTTAAGATTTATTTTCTGATTCTTCCCAAGCCACAGTCAAGACTCAACATTCCTGTAAGCCATAATCCAATTCCTTCTTTTCATACAAAAGAGAAAACTGAGTTTCAACTGTCTCCAACCAATAGCAGAAAAGGGAGGGAGCACAGTCAGCCAACTTGGGCTGTGTCCCTCAGGGAGGGGACAGATCACAGGCGCCAGGACAGGGATACTGGGGCTGCTGCTCTGACAGGCAGAGGGGCAGTGCTGTGAGGCAGCTGGAACACAATCATCTAGCAACACCTCCCCTGGTAGCCTCCACAAAGCTGCCAGTTTTTCCCCCTAAGGCGTGTGGCTGAAGGCTCGTTCCTTACCTTCTCTAGAATCAAGTGGCCACAGACACAGCACTTCTCAGCTGCCTCCTGAAACCCTGAAAACTAAAGAGAGGAAAGGGGGCAGTCGAAAGGCTGAAAATAATGACAGAACCTGATGGAGGCAAAGACATCCCCGGCATGAAAGCCCTCCGCTCACCAGATAATCTTCCTCACAGTAGACAGAGCCGTTGACGCTGTAGAAGGCCTTGCACCGCAAAGTCCGTCCTAGAAGTAGCAGAGAAGCAGCTGGAGCCTAACTTTGGAGCCCAAAACACACAGGGCTTTTCTTCTCCTGGTCCCTGCTCCCCCAGTGTTCACAGGACATTTGGACCTGGACCTTAAAGATCTTCCTTCTAATCGTTATCTATTCCTCCCCCAAAGAAAAACCTATATTCACATGGAGACTGAGGTAGGATGATCAAGAGTGTAAGGTAGCTTGGTCTACACAGTAAAGCCTGCCTCAAAGAAAAAGAGAGAAACCTGTATGATACAGTTTCAACTGGCTTTGGCCTCATTCCAGCCAAACTGCTCTGCAGCTCACTGCTCCTCCAGCTCCTGTGCCTTCAATAGTTGTCTGCCACCCGCACCTCTTCAGGGCCAGTCCGTGAGGAGCCCCCTAAGAGAGCGTGGTGGAGGTCGGCTGGGCCAGTGTACCAGGTATGATGCCCCGATTAGGTGTGACTTGATTTGCACAGAGCACCGGTCCCCAGCCTTAGCCTCTGGGACCTTTTAACCTAGGTTTTCTTTGCTTCAGTGTAGGTTTCCTGATCTCACATATCTGCCTGGCTCCTTCCTGCCACAGCCTCCGTGGTGGTCAGAACATCTTGGAGCTACTGCTTTATATGGGAGCTTAGAGGAACACAAGAATCGTCAGGGTCCGAGGCTGCCTGAGCCCCCCCCCCCAAGTCTACATGCCAGGCCATTTCCCTTTAGACTGGCACCCACAAAACTCCTCCATCAGGTCTAAGTGGTTAAGGGTAAGCAAGGAGTGAGAGAGGGTAAGGAGTGGGCAGGTTTTCCATCCTCCCGCAGCAACCCCTGGGGGTCCAGAAAAGCTCACATGGCACGGAACAGGGCACACCGGGAAGAGGCCCTGATGAAAAGAACAGCCAGCCCAGCCCAGAGAGATGCAGGCAGAAGCCGGGGAGGAGAAAAGCTGAGTGGTGGAGTCAGACAGGCAGAGATAGGAGATTAGAGGTTTAGCGAGAAAGAATCAGAATGGGTAAGCAGTGGTGAAGGGATAATGAGAGGTGAGGGAGGGTGTGGTGGGGGGAGCACCCCCACAGAGGGCCTCCTGAGCTAACAGCAGCAGCAGCAGACATTCCTGGAGTGTGATGTCATCAGCTTGGCATGGCCCGGTGGCCTCCACTCCAGTGAGGTGGCTGAACTCTGACCAGTGGAGAGAAAACCCCCTCCGCCCCCCCCAACAGCTCCCCATTCCCCCAGCCCACACCCGCCCTTTCCACATTCCAGTCTTTCACTGTCGCCCCAGGCAACTCTGCTGCCCAAGACCAAACCTCACCAAGAAGAGGTGGGGCGGCGGGAGCCGGAGGCTGGGCGGCAGGGAGGCACAAGAAAGAGGGAGGTTGAGAGAAGAGCAAGGAGGCTGAAAGACACGGGGACCCCAGAAGGCCGGCCCAGCATGGGGAGGGGATAGCTGTGGGTCCTGACAGGTGCTCCTCTCCATCAAAGCGTTGGGCAAGGTGGGGGGCGGGGGAGTTGAGCAGCAGGTGCACTTACCACAGGAGCAGCAGACAAAGCACTGGGTATGGTAGAGGCTGTCCAGGGCCTGGCAGGCATTGCTCTGCCCATAGATGCCTTTGTTACACTTGATGCAGGTGCCTGAAAGGAGAAGAGTCAGAGTCACAGTCCGCCTCCTCCCCGGCTCAACCGGGGACCCCCAAGCTTTACTTGCCTGCGCTAGCCTGATGTGCCAGGAGGCACAGTTCCCTTAGTGGGCTCCCCTCTGAGGGGGCAGGGTCACCAGAAAAGGGATGAGGGGGAGGGTTGGAGATGTAAGCTTATCTTGTAGACCGCTTGCCCGCCATATGTGAAGCCCTGGCTCCTTCCCTGGCGCCACATAAATGGGGATGACAGTGCACACTGGAATCCGGCACTCAGGAGGGGCTAAACAGAATTTGAAACCTGTGTTGAAGCTGTGAGACCCTGCCTCAGTGAAACGAAGAAAGGCTGTGCCGGCATCTTGACCAGGCGCACCCATTCCTATGGATGAGTGGATATTCTCTGATGAGTGGGTATTACTCTGTGCTTAGCACAGAGCCTAATTTTAAGACAATAGTTAAGGTCAAGAGGCCTGGTTTCTCTTGGGACAAGTAAGGAAGAAGTGGTGGGAGACGGTGATGCCCGCACGTAGGACTCAGCAGCACCTGGGAAACCTTCCTGGAGAAAGCAATCGGGGCCCATAAGTCTCTCTGGGGCTTCAGCTTTATCATCCATAAAGCCTGATCCGGGCCAGCAGAGGATCTTTTGTGCAGATGGGCCATGTGAGCACTCCTGTAGGTACTGCTGTGAACACAGCTGGGGGTCTCAGGAGCCTGGCCTACACAGGGCCAGGTGGGAGCGGGCAGCCCCGGGCAGCAGACCCTGCCGCCTCCCTCAACAAGGCCTTTCCCTGGTCCTCTCCACTGAGATGCAGACGCCCGGCTCTGGAACCAGCCTTTCCTGGGTGTGTTCTTCCTTCCCTCCACTCCCCAATTCCAGGCCCATGACTGAGGGCTAAGACCTGTCTCTGGGGAGCAGATCCCAACGGGCCTGCCCCACCTCTCCCCCCTCGGCACACTGCCACACTCCCTGCCTGTCGGGGCCCATCCCAGGCTTTGCCCAGGGGCTTTGGGAGCTGGTGCGGCAGCTGCGGCAACTGATGGGCCCAGGCCTGTCCCGCTCCCACCCTCTGGCAGCTGGGCAGAGCTGAGGCCAAGGGAGAGGGGCCCTAACCAGAGGCAGCGGCAAAAGGTACCGCCAGGCTTGCACCGGAACACAAAGAGTCTGCTGTGGGGGCTCTCAGAGGAGGCACCCCGGCCTCACTTCAAAGTTAAGAAGTTCTTCTTCCTCGTGACCACTGCCCACGATTGCCATGACAAGGGGTCCCTGGTCAGACAGAGCCTTTCTACGGGGAGCCATGGACGCCACGGGGAGGAAGCTGCTCGGGCATGCTTTCCTCACCTGGAACATCTGCACCTAGCTTCTTACTGCGCTGAGTCGCTTTCTTTCTCTGGGCTCTGATGGTTGAGCCAGTGAGACCTCTTTTCCTAGCTCTGGCTTGGGCCTCAAAGGGAAATGGCTAAACGGTTCCTGCTCCTGTTTCCCTCGATCAAAGTGATTTTGGCCATCTGCTCTGTGGGCCGTCTTCCCCAGTGGAGGGGGAGGGGGGAATCGGTGTGTGTGTTGAACTCAGTCCCTGCTACCTTCCAACTTCCTCCCAGTTGTCTTCCTCTCTACGCATATTTCTGGTCACGGGCGTGGGGGGCCAGGGGAGGCACACGAACGGTGGAAAAATCAGTGGTCGTGGAAAACTGAAGCGACCCAGAGTCCAGGGGTGTGAGTGGGAGAACCCTCCGCATTCCCTCAGAACTGGTTTTTATGCTGCGGTAATGTCTACGGCTTCTGCTAACAGCCCGCCATTCTAGCTTTAACAACTGATCAGCCCTTCTTGAAAAGACTACGGGGCAGAGGCTGTGGCCAGGTTTCCTCAACAGGAGCAGGAAGGTGTACCCACACTCCTTCGGAATGCTGATCAAGTTATTGGCGTGGGGGAGGGCCTCAAAGTCAGGTAACACCTGGTAGAGCAGCTCTACAGCCAAGGGTACTGGTCTCCGGGTGCTCACTGATTTTTGCCCAGACTTCCGGCAGCTGGCGACAACAGGCGAGGTACCGGCCTATTTTAAGAGGCCACCGGCGCACACCTCGCCGGCAGGACTGGGGCGGGGCAGGAACTGGGCCCTCGCTTTTCATTCTAGGGAGTCCAGGCCTCCCCTCCCAGGCTCCATTTCCCCGACAGCAGCTACGGCTGCGCGGGAGCTGGCGAACATCCCCCATCGCGGGCGCTCGCTCCCCGCCCCTCCGCCAGGCGGGCGTCGCCCAAGGCACCTGGAGCGCCGGGGCAGGAGTCGGCACGCACGCGGCCGCCCGCCCCGCCCCCCGCGCATTCCCCGAATTCCTGCGGGAGGCGCAAGGGGCGGGTGGGGGCGCGGCACGCCGGAGCTTGCAGGAGCCCGGCCGCGAGGGGGGCGCGGGAGGATGCTCCCGCAGCGCCGCCGCCGCCTCCTCCTCCCCCCGAGGCCTCCTACGGCGACCAGCCGAGGTGCCCCGATGCTTCAGGAAAATGGGACTCCAGAGAAAACCTCGGGTTGAATCTGTCAGGGCTCAGGAGCCTGGTCCCATTGGCAACCTGGCAGGAACGAGCAAGTGCTCCCTAGGGTCCGCCCTCTTCCATCCCTCTGGCCTCTTTTCTGGTCCCCACCTGCAGACCCCCGGCCCCCAGCAATTGGGCCGTCGGGGCGCTGGGGTAACCGCATGCGTTGACAGAGGTCCGTCCCTAGCCTCTTCTACTCACCAAAGTAATCTTCTCTGCTCTCCGGCTCCCGTATCCGGGCTCGGGAGGCCTCAGGGACGAAGGGCACGGGAGACTCCTCCAGACCCGACGGTTCAATCCCCGAGGGCTCTCCGCGGGCACCAGCTTCTCGCCCACCGGTGGCCACCGTCAAGCGCAGCAACGCTGTTAGCTCGTCCTGGTAACGGGACCCCGCGGCGCAGTCCCCGTAGCCGGTAACCGAGTGTCGCCCAGGTTGCGCCCCCCGTCTCTCCAAAGGTCCTGCAGTCCCCACCACGGCCCCGGCTAGAGCTCCGGGGCTGCCCAGGGCCGGGGGGTACGAGTGACGGCTCTCCTGGCAGCCGAAGCCCACGGGCCGATGGGCGCACAGTCGGTCGAGGGCGGCGTGGAGCTCCGGGTAGGCGGACGGAACCCCTCCGGAGTAGCCCGCGGGGGCGGTGGTCAGGGGTAGGCCGAACAGGCACGGCCCCGCGGGGAGCGGGCTCCCGTGGCGCTGGTCGTAGCCCATGCTGATGCCGCTGGTTCGGTTGCTGCACGGCCGGCTCCCTCCGGCACCGCCGGCCCCCGCCCCGTCCAGCAGCAAGCTGCCCCGGGGGCTGGACGGCTTGCTCGCGTCGCTGGCCGAGCTGCTGGCGAAGCTGGAGCGAGGACTGAGGGCCGGAGCCGTGGTCTCCAGGCGAAAATCGGGGGGCAACGTCGGAGGTGGGGGCAGGGCTCGGGCGGGCGGCGGCCCCCCGGGGAAGGACCCTTCGAAGCGCTGCGCTTCGAAGGAGCCGCGTGCGTTCCGCTCGGCGTCCAAGGGCCCCTGCTCCCTGGCCGGCTCCAGAGGCTCATCCCCGGGCCCCCCGTTAGCTCCTCGGTGTCCGGATTTCCTAGGTCCCCCCAACCCACTCAGGCGTCCCTTGCTCGTCCCGGGGGTCCCATCAGAGCCGGAGCGGCTCGCTTCGCCCTTCCTGCGGCCGAACTTGGCGCTGCCCGAGTCCGAGAGTCTCAACTTTTCTAGCAGACGACTGGCTTTCTCCCCTAAGCGCTCCATGTCTCCGGATCCGGGGCCTGCAGCCCCCTCCCCGCCAGGCACGCTGCAGCGTTTCGGACGGAGGCTGGGCTGGGCTTCCCGGGGTGCGCGCGACGCACGGCGGCTCGGCGAGCGGCCCAGGTGCCGGGCGCCCGCGACCCCGACGCATGCCCCGGCGAGAGGGTCCGTGCGCGGCTGGCGGGGCCCGCGGCGGCGGCTGTCCTCCGTAGGTCTGTCCACGCGTCGGCTCGCGCCACCACCCGCCGGCCAGGCCCGCCCCCCTGGCTCTCACTCGCACCGACCCAACTTATCCAAACTTTTGTCTGCCTGGCCGGATCTACTTTCCGGGAGGGGCGGAGCGCGGTGTGCACCCGGGGTTGGGGTGTCCGCGCAAGGATTTTCTGCGCATCGCAGGCAGGACCCCGTGGGTGACTGCGTCCGAGGTGGAGGTGCCGCGGACAGAACGTGGGAGTCAGGGGCCAGACTGGGCAGCTGCGGCCGCAAAACTCAAAAGTTCGGACAGGAAACGGCGCGGGGGTGGGGGTGAGGGGTGAAAAGGAACTCTTTGTTTACAGTCGGAATGTGCGGAGGGGCACTGTGGAATGCATCCATCGAGCCTTGGGAAGAAAAGGGCATGTTCGGCACAAACATCGTGATACTCTTCCTAGAGAGGGCACTGCGGGGGAGACGGGGAAAGGTGGCGCGGGAGGGGTACACAGGGAGACAGCCAGATGAGGACGACGGTGCAGAGGAGGTTCAGAGACCTACGTGTGAGGATAACTCTGAGAGGCGAGGAGGCGCGGCCACAAGGTGTGGGAGCTGCAGAGACCAACGGATGCAAAAAGTAGGGGAAGGACAAGTCGGTCCTGAAAGCTTGAGAGACACATAAACTGTAATAAAAAGCACTTTCTGGACCCATGGTTCTTTGATGGTGGAGTGGGAGGATACAAGATTTATCTACTTCTGTGAAAGGGAGTGCGGAAAGTGACTGGGACTGATCCCTGCCTCTAGAGGGACAGAAAAAGATTTGGTGTGTGCGTAAAAACACGGAGAAAAAGGTTGGGAACTAAAGCAACTTTAAGGGAGAGAGAGACACGCTGTGGGGAGAGACACCCCCTGGTGTTGGGAAGTGAAACTTTTAGCAAACATTTTAGGTGGCTGGAGATTGAAATTGTGATTTTTTTTTTTTTTTCAGGCAAGTACACACCCTCCCCACCACTCAGCCTCTCGCTTTGGTCACAAGGGGTTGGTGGCAGAATGTATTAACTCAGGGGGAATAGAAGATATAAGTGCTCAGGGTGGAAAAGGAAAAGAGGTGATAAAGATCAAGAATAAGGAAAGAAGAAACGCTTGACTAAAACTAAACACCAGGCAGTTGATTTTTATCCAAAATAGCATGTTAGATGATGAAAAGAAATGGTGGGAAATTATTTTTTGGTTGTTGTTGTTTTTGTTTTTTGTGTTTCAAGATAGGGTTTCTCTGTGTAGCCCTGGTTGGCCTGGAACTCACTCTGTAGTCCAGGCTAGCCGTGAACTCAGAGATCTGCCTGCCTCGGCCTCCCCAGTGCTGAAGGCGTGTGCCACCACACCTGGCTTCCTTTTGTGTTGAGGTTCCATGAAGCTTACACACGCACCAGTCATGCGTATTATTTCCATCTCAATATTTTGAGCACATTTTGTACTTTTATAGCCATAGGAAATGGGGGAGAAAAGGCAAAATTAGTGTTGTACACGGATATTCACAGCACTTAGAAGTCTGAAGCAGGAGATTGAATAGTTCAGGGTCACTCTGTATTATGAGTGAGTTCCAGGACAGCCTGGGCTGTATAGGCTTCTCTCTCAAACTCAAAAGTAAGTCGGGGGTTCTGGCGCTGCGCTTAATCCCAGTACTCAGGGAGGGAGAGGCACGAGTATCTCTGTGAGTTCAAAACCAGCCAGAGCTACATGGTATCTCAAAACCATTCCAAAACAACACTGGAAACTGGCTTCTTTTGTCCAATTTGCATTTTCTCTCAGAATTCATTTCTCCAGATAATCAGCTTGTCCCTGGTCAGGCCTATAGCATTTCTCTGATCTTGAAATTTTTCTGCCAAGCTGGAAACATCATTTAGAAGTTTTGACTTTTGGGAATGAAGATGAAAGTCATTCTGTTGTTTGTTTTTCTGAGACAGGGTCTCTCTATGTTGTCCTGGAATAATACATAGACCAGGCTGGCCTCAAACTCAAAGAGATCCTCCTATCTCTTCCTTCCAAGTGCTGATTAAAGTCATGTAACCCTGATGAAAGAGGAAATCGTAAGAAAAGTTGTGAAGCTCCTAAAAAGACCCGCCCAAAGTCTAGCTTGACAAGAGTGGGCACAGCTGGGATGAACAGCTGTTTACAAGTGATAACAGGAAGCAGAAACGAGTGCCCATGACCCCAGGTGAAGTCCAGTCTGGCACTGGAGTTCCAGGAGCCCTCTTTTCTTTTTTTATCACATTTATTTGTTTGTGTGTTGTCTGTGTGCCTTGGTGCTCATGTGCAGGCCAGACGATAACCTGCATTTCTCTTGCTACCAGCAAGGTTTAGGGGTTGTCGGACTTGGCCGCAGAGTAGTAAGTCAACAGAGAGAGGGCCCCTTGTTTTTTGATACAGGATTTGGCTGTAGCTGTCCTCAACTTCAAAATCTTTCTGCCTCTGACTCCCGAGTACTAGAGCTACAGGCATGTGCAACCAGGCCTGACTTCTGCAAGCCTTTTTCTTCTCCAAAACTGTAATTTTAATCTGCATACGCTACTGTATTTTATTTTTTTCCTTTTCCTTTTTCTTTTTTGAGACAAGATTTCTCTGTGTAGCCCTGGCTGTCCTGGACTCACTTTGTAGAGCAGGCTGGCCTCGAGCTCACAGACCTGCCTCTGCCTCTCTGCGTGCTGCTGTTATAGGGGTACCCCACCATATCCAGCTTGTAGCTGACTTCTTAACCCAGACTGCTTTTGCACTTAAAAAACTCAATGACAACATGGTGGTGGTGGCGGCAGCGGTGGCGCACACCTTTAGTCCCAGTGCTCGGGAGGCAGAGGCAGGTGGATCTGAGTTTGAAGCCAGCCTGGTCTACAGAGCAAGTTCCAGGACAGCTGGGGCTACACAGAGAAACCCTGTCTCAAAGAAAAGTAGAAAAACAAAACAAACTAACTAAAACACCTCAAATGACTAGCCAGGCATGACAATGAACACTTGCAGTCCTACTGGGAGGTAGCCTGAGGCAGGAAGAGCATCAATTCAGGCCTTGACCGTAAAGCTCAAGACCTGCCTGAGCAACATAATGAGAGCTTGTCTCAAAAGAAAGAGTAAAAAGAGGGTATAGCTCAATGATGACATCATTACTTACTTCCGTACTCAGTCCAAAAGTCAACCTTCAGTACCACGAAAACAAACCAATGACAACCGTCCCTCGTAAGATGCTAACACCACCTCTGCGGCGGTCTCAGACGCACTGGCTCTCTGTGTTCACCTAAGCCCCCCCAACCCCCACCCCCTGCTGCCGGCAACTACTCTAGCAGCATTTGCTGAGCTGCTTAGCTGCTTAACTCAGAAACCAAAGCTTGGCCCTAGCTCTATATATTACTTTTCCTAATGTGTTTTGCCTGAGCCATGTATCTTGTAGATGCCTGGTGCCAAAGAGGCAGAAGAGGCCTTTGGAACTGGAGAAACAGTTTGTGAGCTGCCGTGCTGGCTCTGGGACATGAACCTGGATGCTTATTGCTCTCCAGAGCCTTTTCCATCTCACCTTCAAACCTGACCAAATCCTGTAAGCCAGTGTGTATCAATTCTGCTTCCTAAATACCTCAGCTGCCCCCCCCCCCCCGCTCCCATCACCAGTGTCAGACCAGTCAAGGCTGGCTGGCTTCCTCCTAGCCATCTTCTACCCTGAGGTCAAGAGACACTGGGTTATGTGGAGATTAAGGCAAGACTGGGCTATGTGAGACCTTCAACTCCAAATGAACAAATTAACCCCTCTCTGTTTCTTCTTTCCTAATGATTTATTTTTTATACATTATTCTGCCTGCATGTGTGCCTACAGGCCGGAAGAGGGCACAGGACTGCATTTATAGATGGCTGGGAATTGAACACTGGACTTTTGGAAGAGCAGCCAGTGCTCTTAACATCTGAGCCATCTCTCCAGCCCCCTTTGTACAGCTTTCTGGCTGTACGTGGCTTAAGGTCTTCAGCCTCTTCCCCTGGCATTGTGCCCTCCTCTAACATCTACAGAAGAAGCAACTCTTGCCTGCACTCACTCTTACCTCTGGACTTCTGTGCCGGTGCTGTTTGGCTCAGCGTCCTGGTCTTTGCCCCTCTCCTGGTTAACGCCTCCTCCTCTTTTAGGCATTCCTTTAAACATCGCTGTTTCTGATTGGCCGTTCCCAACTGCAGAAAGTCTGTTCGCTACCCAAGCTGTACACTGCTGTTGTCCTCTGCCCTCCTCCGTGATCACCTTCATCACAGTTCATTTCACGGGCCTGCTCAGTTGCCATGCTTCCTGACTACACGATAAAACCTAACAACTTGAACTCACCAATTTCCTGTCCGTAGCACCTAACACAGCGCACAACACATAATAAGGGATCAGCTGATTGCTGTTATTTGCAGACAGGCTCTCATGCAGCCCGTGCTGGCCCCAGCTTTGCTGAGTACTGGGGAAGACCTTGATTTCCTGATGCTGTCGCCTTTCCCCCCCCCCCCCCGTGCTCATACCTGTTTGGTTGGTTTTTCTTTTGTTTCCCCTGAAACAGGGTATCCTCAAACCTGTGATCCTTCTGCCTCAGCCTCCCTGCTGCTGGAATCACAAGCATAGCCCATCACACTCAGTTTTAACGTCTGTTGCATGACAAAATGAGTTTAAAGCCATTTTGCTTCTTAATCCATTTGGAGTATATGAGTGTACATACACATATACCTTCCTCAAAAATACAGCTTGGCTGACAGGACTAAGAAATAGGTACAGCGATGGGCAGTGGTGGCACATGCCTTTAATCCCAGCACTCAGGGAGGCAGAGGCAGGTGGATCTCTGTGTAGCCTTGGCTGCCCTGGTCTACAGAGTGAGTTCCAGGACAGCCAAGGCTACACAGAGAAACCCTGTCTCAAATTAAAAAAAGAAAAAAGAGAAAGAACAAAAAGAAAGAAAGAAAGATATATAAAAGACATAGGCATAAAGCTGTGTTCTTGGTCACAAGAATGGAAGAGAAGCTGCCAGTGAGAAATAGGAGTGGTTTTGTTTGATGTTTGTTTCCTTTCTTTTTTTTTTTTTTTTTTTTTCTTGAGACAGGCTCTTGCTATGTAGACCAGGCTGTCCTGAAACTCATAGAAATCCATCCGCCTCTGCCTCCTCGGTGCTGAGATTAAAGGCATGCGACACCATTGCCTGGCTTGTTTTGTTTTGTTTTTTGAGATGAGGTTTCACTTTGTAACCCTGGCTACCCAGGAACTCATGATATAGCTCAAGCTGGCCTTGGATCCACAGCAGCCCTCCAAATGCTCCTAAATGCTGGGATTCTAAGTATGAATCATTAAGCATAACAACATGAGAAATGTTTACGATTTAATTTTCTCACATATAATATGGGAATGATAAAAATTTCTCATATAATCCAGCAAAACAATAACTATCATTTAAAAAATCCAAACAATGTCTACCATATCTAGACCCTAATTCCAAATAGCAGTAAGCCCATGATCCCCTGCTCAGAAGAGAAAGCCCAGGACAAAGCTCCCGCCAGGGGGCAGTATTACTCTGGACTGGTCCGCTCTGCATCGATTACAGCACAGACCAGTAGTATTTCTCCTGAGCTGTGGGTACAACAGAGGGCGTGGGGGGCGAACAAAGTGAGAGACTGGGACGTGTACCAAGGCCTCGCGTTTCTTTGGCCCATCCTCCTTTTTCATCCCGGGCTCCTCTGAGGCACTGTTGATGCTTAGGAATAAGCACTTCCTGGCTTGCCACTCTGGGGGGGGGGAACCGCTCCCCTGCCTCCTGATTCAGTTCTGCTATCCCACCAGTCTCCAGCTTCCGCTTCAAGTGGAAGCTATGTTAATAAGGGCAGATCATCTTTCCCTGACTACATTATTCCCGGCCACCCACTTCTGGGATGTGGGGAGTGACGGGAGCCAGGGTTATCCTTGTTATAGACTGTATTCATCCTTCTCCACCTTGATTTCAATGAATGAGTTCAAGTCAGGGCAGGATGTCTTGTGGGGCTGGTCAAAGGATGGAGAGACCGGCCCTTTCTCATTGCTTCCTCCCTCCTCCTCTTGGAAATTGGGATTGTAAAGTTCGGGAGGAAGGAGCTGGGCTTCCACAGACGGCAGTCTGTCTGAGGGAGGCCCATAGACGCGGTTGGCCTTGGTGCCGTGCTTAGAGTTAGCGTCCAGGTGGTAGCAGAGCTCCGTGAGGCGCTGGGCCCGGAAACGGGGAGAGCGGGCCACCCACACGCCCGGCTCGTTGAGACTGTCCTCCTCGTCTGACATCAGTTCTTCCGTCACGTTCTTCCACAGCTGCTGGTCCTCAGGTCCGAAATGCCTCATGATACTGGATCGGTTGGCGAAAAGCTAAATTAGGAGAAGAAAGGATTTATAGAAAGAGTTTATGTTGGGAGTAAGAAAACATTAAAAAAAAAAAAAAAATCTGTGCTTAAGAGGAACTCAGTCCTGGAGTCAGATCTTACTGGCTCACCCTCCACCTGCCCGTTTACACTCCGGTCGGCCATCTTCTCTGATGCTGCTCTTTTTGCTATACCCTTCACAATTCAGAGCTTGAAAGGATGGACTTACCCGGTATCGCCGGCTTCGAAGTTTCTTCTCCTCTTTTTCCTTCAGGCCTTTGAAAGGGTTGAGAGAGTTGCGGTACTCTCGCCTCTTGGTGAGGAAGTAGGCCACGCAGGCTCCTAGGGAAGAGAGACAGCAAGAAGCAGGATTGGCGGGCTGCGGTGGTGCACGCCTGTAATCCTAGCACTCTGGGCGGCAGAGGCAGGCAGATCTCTGTGAATTCCAGGCCAGCTTGGTCCACAAAGGGAGTCCAGGACAGCCAAGAACCACACAGAGAAACCCTGTGTCAAAAAATGAAAAAGAAGAGGAGGAGGAGGAGAGGAGGAGGAGGGGAGGAGGAGGAAGAGGAGGAGGAGGAGGGGAGGAAGAGGAGGAGGGGAGGAGGAGGAAGAGGAGGAGGAGGAGGAGGAGGAAGATCCTCCACAGCAAGGGTCCCCAGCCCCCACATTGCTGCTGAGTAGGCTTGAACTACCATTTGGCAGGCTCGGCTTTCCCAAATGGCACCAGCACAGTTCAGTCCTCTTGGATTTAGTGTGACCACCTTCATCTCTAAAACTAACTCCTCCCAGACATCCCTCACTGCAAAGAGATAACTCCAGCTGCTTCTTGGGCATTCAGCTCTCCCATCAAACCTGCTATCGCTGCACTACCAATATAGTTCTCCGTTCTTTTTTCTGCAGCTGTCATAGCACCTCAGTAATAGGTGTAAGCGACAGGAGAGTAAGAAAAGTAGAAAACCTAGGACATAGTGGGATTTATTTTAAGTGTCTGGGTGTCTTGCCTGAATGTATGTCTGTGCACCACGTCCATGCAGTGCCCTCAGACACCAGAAGAGGGCATCACATCATTTGGCACTGGAGTTGCAGGCTGCTGTGAGGTGCTGGGAATTGAATTCAAGTCTCTTGGAAGAGCAGCCAGTGCTCTTAACCACTGAGCCATCTCGCTGGCCCCAGGACATAGTATGCGGGGACGAAGAGGCTGGCTTCTGGCTTGGCAAGATGGCTTATGGTGCCAAGCCTGATGGCTGGAGCTCCATCCCCGGAGCGCCACGCACTGTCCTCTGAGCTCCAGGTGCACCCTGTGGCCTATGCTTACACATGAGCATTTGCACGCACGCACACTCCGTGCACTAAATAAATAAATGTGGTGTGCTTTGTGAGGGAGTGGGCTGGCGAGGTGGCTCAGTGGTTAGGAGAATGGCTGCTCTTACAGGGGACTGGATTTGCTTTCCCGCAGCCATGTGTTGGTCACCTGTACGTGCAGTCCCTGGGAACCTTCAGACCTCAGCAGGCTCATGCACACAAGCTGCACACAGCATCCACTCAGGCACATGTACCCACACAAACCGAAGACAGATAAATACACACTAAAAAACGAAACAACAAAAAAGCTAGGCATGCTGAGACAAGCCTTTAATCTCAGGACTTGGGAAGCAGAGGCAGTTGGGTCTTTGTGAGTTCAAGGCCAGCCTGGTCTACACAGAGAGTTCCGGGCCAGCTGGAGTGAAACCCTCATCCCAAAATAACAATGACAACAACAATAATAATGCTAGCCTTTGGTTGACCTCAGATTCGGGTTCTCTATAAAACAATGTGTAATGGCACTCTAGTCTTTTTTGCATTTTCGTTCCAAACTGAATGAGGAAGAAGGGAATTTGAAGTAAATAAATTCTAGGTGAGAACAACAAAAGGTTTTAAGGTACACAAGCACCATTTTCTTTCTTCCGTTCTTTCTTTTTTTCTTAGCTCAGGCTGGCCTAGGACTGTTTGTGGGCTAGGCTGGCCTTGAATTTGAAGTGATCCTCTTGTCTCAGCCTCCAGCCTTGGGATCACAGGTCCCAGGTACCGTACCTAGCTGTCATGCACTGTTTTAACGCCACCTAAATCATCCTCATGCATCTTCCCTCCCAGCCAAGAACGGGGGAGCAGAAGAGGCAAGTAGAGAGCATAAGCAATGGGAAGTCAAGGTCCCTTACCTTTCAGCTCCTTATCTGTGTAATTGTGGGGACTGGCCAGCAGCTCCTGCTTGAGCTTTTCCAAAAGGAACTTCACTACTGAGATATTCCAAGAGGACTTAATGCTGTCACAGAGGAGGAAAAAAGTAAGGCGGACAGCTCTTGGAGCACCAGAGGATACACACACACCTAGAATGAATCAGCTTCGTAGTAAAGCCTTGGCCTGATACAAGCCGGCATCCCCACTGTCTCACTCCCTCTCAGAAAAACACCCTGGACGCTTTTCCCCTTAAGAGACCATACCTTTCAGACCCATTGAATCTCTTGTCATTGGTGATGTGGTTATGCACATTGTGGACCAGTTTCTAGGGGAGGGGAGAAAGAATCAGGTCAGGAAACTTCCCTCTGGCTCCCAGGGTAAAAAAGCATTGTCGCTAGCTCTGTGGGTTCTCTGTCCAAATCACTTCCAAATCCTAGGCATCATTTTTTACTATGTCCTTTCTTAACCATGAGTTATCTAAGTTAAGGATTTATATTTTTGCTTTTTTTTTGGGGGGGGGGTGTGAGTAGGTAGACTTAGAGACAGGGTTTCTCTGTATAGCTTTGGCTGTCTTGGACTCGCTTTTTAGACCAGGCTGGCCTTGAACTCACAGCCATCTGCCTGCCTCTGACCCCGGAGTGCTGGGATTACAGCTGTGGGCCACTGCACCTGGCTTTGCTTTTCTCATGTAGTCCAGTCTGGCTGCCTCTCTTCCTACATGGTGAGGCTGGTCCTGAACCTCTGCTCCTTATGTCTTTACTACCCGAGTGTTGGGGATATAGGGATGACGCACCACGCCAGATAGCTATATGTCTTTGAATATAAGTGTATCCTGAGATATGTTGATTAAAATTGATGATCCACTAGTTAGGTATGGTGGCACAGGCCTTTAACTCCAGCACTCAGGGGGCAGAGGCAAGCGTATCTCTGAGTTAGAGGGGAACCTGGTCTACAGAACAAAGTTTTAGGAGAGCCTGGAAAGAAAATAAAAGATTATCAAAAGCCTGAGAGGTACACACTTGAGACTCAAAAAACACAAATCCAAAGCAATGGAAACGGAAACTGGAAAGCGCCTTGGACCCAGCCAGAACTTCCCTTTCACAGCATTGAGCAGCTGCCGCTTCTGTGTATAAACACTTATCTCCTTTCTTTAAAAAAAAAAAAAAAAAAAAGTTATGAGTGTACTTAATTGTGTGTGTTTGTGCGTATGCCTGAGTATATGTCTGTGCACCACATGTGAGCTCAGAAGAGGCAGTAGGTCTCCTGGGCTGGTGTTGGAGACAACTGTGAGCCATGCCGGTGTTGGCCGTCCAACGCATGTCCTCTGCAAGAGCAGTGAGCCGTCTCCCCAGCCGCCTGTCTCCTTTCTAAGCCAGTTTATTTCTACTGAACATCTTGTTTTGGTTTGGCTGACTATATAGCCCTGGTAGACCGGGCTGAGCTCAAACTCACAGACTTCGGCCTGTCTTGCTCCCTTAGCACTGTCCTCCTGAGTGCCCAGATTAAAGGTGTGTGCCATGCCTGGCCCCAGATGAACGCTGTTAGATAAAAGGTTTTACTGGGGGCTGGAGAGATGGCTCAGTGGTTAAGAGCATTGGCTGCTCTTCCAGAGGACGTGGGTTTGACTCCGGCACCCGCACGGCAGCTCACAACTGTCTGCAACTCCAGTTGCAGGAGTTCTGATGCCCGTTGTGTCCTCCATGGGCATTGCATGGTGCACAGGCATATGCAGGCAAAATACCCACAAACATAAAAATAGAGACATGTATATACTTCCAAAGTCTTACTGGACCCGGCATGGCGGTGCATCCTTTAATCCCAAGACTCAGGAGATACATGCATACTCACTTATCACATATACACACGATGATAATAGTAAGAGACATTTTTAAAATGTTTCATTGGGCTGGGGAGATATCTCAGTGGGCAAAGCACTTGCTAGGTAAATACCAGGATCTAACTTCAAAGCTCAGTACCTACATGAAATTCAAAGCCACACCTTTGATCCCAGCACACAGGAGGGAGAAGCAGGCAGAGCTCTGTGAGTGTGAGGACAATCTTGTTTACATAGCGTCCCAGAACAGCCAGGATTACATAGTGAGACTCTGTCTCAGAAGAAACAAAATACGTATCTTCAGAACTCTGACCCCAGTTTTGCCTGTAATGCCATGTGAGAGTTTGAAGACAGCTTTCATAAATTTCCCTTGTCTTTTCGTCTGGTCTAAACAGCCTCAGTCCTGGTGGTTTCCTGACTTTCTAGGCGGACTTTCTAGCGGGCTCTGTGATACCCTGTGGCTCACCTGCAAGGGGGCGCCAGAGCTGAGTTGATGTCGCGTGGCCCTGGCCCGAGAGAGAGCTCTACCCCCTAAGAGGAGTGCTGTGCCGGGGAGTAACCTAAAGACTGGAGCCAGCCCGGACTGCATGAGACAGTACTTTCACAGAGAGGCTGGAGAGAGCTCAGGAGCTGGAAACACGGCTGACCGCAGAGGGCGGGGCTCAGCACCCAGCACCCACACGGGGGCTGTTGAGCTTACAAGTGTGCTCAACTCCAGCTCCGGGGGGTACAGTTCCCTCTGTCAGGTTCTGTGGGCACCAAGCTCCCACGCAGTGCACATGCATAATACACATACACATATAAATACAAATACATAAAAACAAACAAACCTAGAAACTAGATGGGCCTTAGGAGGAGAGGCAAACAGATCTATGCAAGTTTGAAGCGAGCCAGGTCTACAAAGTGAGTTCCAGGTCGGCCAGGGCTACACAAAGAAACCAAACCAAACCAAAAAACCTAGAAACTAATGTCCAAATGGAAGCAATCACAAAGGAATAAGAGGTGTGAGTTCTCGAAAAAGGAAAAGCAGTTACCTATCCAAGTCAAGTGGCTTAGAAAAGACCAGGTGATAAAAAAAAAAAAAAAATCAAACCAGGCTTGAAGTGCAGAGGGAAAACACTTGAGACAGACAGTAGGTGTTAAGACAGTGAGGGCTGCTAGCTCACCTACCTTCTGAGCGAGCTAAAAATAAATATACTCACTTGCCCAGGGGTGTCTGGCATCTGCACCATTCCAAAGGCTTCAACATCCTGGTGTGGTCCTTCTGCTCAAAGAGTGTGTGCTCGGGCTCCTTCCAGAGCCAAAAACTCACACACTAGGGCCCCGTGACCATTCTTTCCTTACAAGTCAATATTGCCAGGGCTGGCCTCAAAACTCACCTTATAGCCTAGATTACAGGTGTTTTCCAGGCCTGTCTTTTTTTCCTGAGTACCTTTCTCTCTCTCTAATATTTTATTTGTTTATTTTATGTATGAGTCATCTATCTGCATGTACACCTGCATGCCAAGAGCGGGCATGTATTCCAGTATAGATGGTAATGAGCCACCATGTGGGTGCTGAGAATTGAACTCAGGACTGTGGAGGAGCAGCCAGTGCTCTTCCCCGTTGAACCATCCTGCCATCCCATCTTCCCTTCTCTTGACACTAGTGTTTAAAATCTAAATGAAAGGGCTTGCTGATCTTCCAGAGGACCCGAGTTCAGTTCCCAGCACCCACATGGCTCACAACTGCTTCAAACTGTGGCTCCAAGGGGTCTGAGGGTACGTAAACACGCGTGGAACACACTCACACACACAAACGCCACACACATGAATTAAAAAAAAATAAAAATGATTTTTTTTAATGCTTTAAGATGGGATGGAGAAGCCGGGCATGGTGTGCACACCTGTGATCCCTTGGGGAGGGATCACCTTGGGGAGGCAGGGGCAGGAGGATCTCTGTGAGTTCAAGGCCAGCCTGGTCTACAAAGTGAGTCCAGGACAGCCAGGGCTACACAGAGAAACCCTTACAAAGATGGGCTGGACATAAAGCTCAGTGGTTAAAATCCCCAGAGGGCCCGAGTTAGATTCCTAACATTCACATTGGGCTACAACTGTGTATAACTCTGGCTTCAGGAAACATAACACCTTCTGGACACTAAAGACTTCTGCAGACATGTGGTATACACACATATACAAATAAGCACAATTTAAAAATACTCAACGTCTATATAAAGGTCCAGTAATGGTGGCATACGCCTTTAATCCCAGCACTCAGGAGGCGAAGACAGGCGTATCTCTGTGAGTGTACGGCCAGCCTGATCTCCATAACAAGTTACAGTCAACCAGGGCTACCACAATCCGCCCTCATCTCTCATCAATTAATTCATACTTAACAGAGTCCAACTGTTTCTAAATAAATAAATTCATGGTGAACTGGGTATGGTGGTGTGCATCTGCTTATAATTCCAGCCATCACTTGTGAGGCAAAAGCTAGAGGATCAGGAGTTCAAGGTCAGCCTCGGCTATGTGGTGGCTTCGAGGTTGCTCTGAGTTTCATGAGACCCTGTTTCGAACAAACAAGCAAACAAACAGCAAACAACCCCTCCCCACACACAGCCCTCTGCACGACTGACACGTCGTTGAGTGGGAAAACCTGGCATTCTCCCTTTCCCCACCAGCGATGGCAGTCTGCAAAGTCCCTGAGAGCGGTTACTCCAGGCTGAGAAGCACTGCCACAGGTTCCTCAGGCTCCAGAGGGCAGCCACGCTGGGGGCTCTCAGCTAGGCAAAGCGTCCCTGGGGCTTGCACCCTCTCCAAGAAGTCCTCCTAGCTAGTCCTGCTCTGCCTGCCGTGAGCTCAGAGTGACAAGGTTCCTCAGAGCTCTGGGACTGCCACACTATGCTGGCTCCACACCTCTGTGATCTTTTTTTTTTTTTTTTTTACAATATATTCACTTTGTGTCCCAGCTGTGGCCCCTCCCTCGTCTCCTCCCAACCCTACCCTCTCCTATACCCCTCCCCCAGTCCCCTGATAGGGGAGGTCCTCCTCCCCTTCCCTCTGATCCTAGTCTATCAGGTCTCATCAGGACTGGCTACATTGTCTTCCTCTGTGGCCTAGTAAGGCTGCTCCCCCCTCAGGGGGAGGTGATCAAAGAGCCAGCCACTGAGTTCATGTCAGAGACAGTCCCTGCTCCCCTTACTAGGGAACATACTTGGACACTGAGCTGCCTATGGGTTCCTCTGTGGTCTTGAAATTTCTTCAAGACAATCTAGCTTTTCTACCCAAGATGCTCCTAGCTTCTTAGCCTGCACATGGGTTAAAACATGGCTCTTTGATGATCAGTCTGCTCAATCCTTAAAGATCTTCCCGCCAGGATTATGAGAACACTAAGAGATAGGATTCTCTTCTTTTTAAAGGGAAGACACCATTTATCTAGACAAGCCTAAGGAATAAGGCAATGTGAAAGGCTTTGCCCATTCTCAAGGTTATGGAATAACTCTTTATCCTTCCCATTCCAGTAGGATGTAGACACTATTCATTCTATTTGGAGGTATAAAGTCAACCCACTCTTTTTCTCTTCAAACCGAAGTGGGGGGTGGGGGAAATGACTGAAACTGAGTTTACTTACAGAGAGCACTAGATCTCGCTTGCGCCTGGAGTTTTTCTGCCCAGTCCCCCGGACCCTGCATGGGGAGCTGATAAATCCCAGAGAGCGGTTCAGTTCCCCGGTGGCCCCTGGGCCCGACTCTTCCAAGGTACTGTCCAGCGCTGTGGAACCAAGCATGTCCTCGGGGCGGGTTGCTGGCAACTTGGTTCCATTTTCTGGTCCTGACTCCGAGGATGCCCTCTGGATAGCCAGTTGTGTGGCTGGTGAAAGCTGTTTGGCATAAGCAGGGACCAGCACGCGTTGTATTGCACCCTCAGAGGCCACATAATCATCCGCCATCTAAGAACATAAGAACAGTTTATTACCAGGCAGGCAGGGGAGGATCTGGTTAACCGTCATTCTTGGCCAAGAACAGCAAACAAAGGAGGCCAGGTCGGCAGCTTTTCATGTCAATAGTTTGTTTCTCAGGGAGTCTATGACAACATCAGGCAAATCATTCTTTTTTTTTTTTCTTCATATGTATATGGCTGTTTTGTATGCCTGTATATCTGCACATCACATGCCTGTGGAGGCCAGAAGATGGAGTTACAAATGCTAAGGAATTGAACCTGGGTCTTGGCCACTGAGCCATTTCACCAGCCCTGGGGAAATTATTCTTATGTGGGCATGACCCGCAGTGCTGGGTTGTTATCACAAAACAGCTTACATGAACAGGGCATGTTTTGACCTTCTATGTGAACAGTTACTTATGATTTTTTCAAAGATTACTTATACAGTATGCCTGCACGTGTGCCAGAATGCCATAAGAGGGCACCAGATCTTATTATAGATGGTTGTGAGCCACCATGTGGTTGCTGGGAGTTGAACACAGGGCCTTTGGAAGAACAGCCAGTTCTCTTAACCTCTGAGCCATCTCTCCAGCCCCTTATGATATGTTCTTGAGTATAAGATATCACCAGGGAAGGGTGGCATATGCTTTTAATCCTAGCACTCTGAAGGCAGAGGCAGGCAGATCTCTGTGAGTTCCAGGACAGCCTGGTCTACAGAGTGAGTTCCGGGACAGCCAGGGCTATGCAGAGAAACCCTGTCTCAGAAAATAAAACAAGAAATGAATCTAGGTAAGTGTTCTGTCTAAAAAGTATCAGAAGAGAAAGTGATAATAAGAACGGGAAACCAAGCAGGACAGGAAACAAGACAAGTGAACAGTAACAATGATAAAAGGGGAAAACAAGAGGAAACAGGAGAGGAATGCCAAGGACCCCTAGAGAGGATATCACAGACACAGCAGACACATCACCTCCCCTTGAGTCCCTGGGAGAGGCCGGTCTGGGCTAGGCCACATCCCGAAGTCTCAGCCCTAACACCCAGCTGACTGCCTGTGCAGTCAAGGGCACACAGGGCAAGGAAAGGAGGGAGTGGAGCGGTGAGGGAGAAGGAAAGGAGTGGAGATTTCTGCAGCCAGGAAAACAAAACAGTGAAAGTGTGTGTGTGGGGGGGGGGGGGGGGGGGGCACAGAAAGAAAAAAGGGGGGGGGGGGGGGGGGGGGGGGGGGGGGGGGAGAGACACATCCAGAAAGAAGCGGAGGAGGCAGCTGAGATTTATAGACCTGTGAGCTTGTGTTCCGTGCTGTGAAATCTAAAAGCTAATTCCATCCTGTCAGCTTGGAAACCTTCCTCTGCCTGAAAGAACACCGGGTGCAGAGAATACTGCCTAGCCTGGGTGTCTGTCATCCTGTTTCCGGCCTCTCAGGCCCAACCTGGGCAGAGCCGAGGTGAGGAACAGTGAACACTGCTACACAGGGGAGAGGTCTACAGGGCAGGAGGTGGGCTGGGAGTTCCCGCCCTCTCCCGCCCTGTGTGTTCTGATTTTTACTCTTTACTGGGTATCATTGCCTGGTTGGGATCTGGAGGGAAGAGAGAGGACAGACAGAGGGGAGGAGAGAGCTGAAGACTGCGTGCTAGCTGTTGAGTGTGGGACATCTGTCACTTGCTGACTCTGTGATCTCTGTCATCCTTCCATCTCCTTATCCTCCCTGAATGCCCCTGAATGCCTTTCTGTGGTCCTTATTCTACCTAGCCAGGCTTTTCTTCTTCATGTGACCCTTGAGCTGTGAGAAACTGAAACAGTACAATGTATTTTTAGTCTTTTCCTGTCCAGAACATGCTCGAGTCCCCTCCTCCTCTGCTTTCTGCCCCTGCCTTTTTAAAAGGCATATTTTTATTGTTTTTAATTATGTGTGTATGTCTGTGTGTGAATATGATCATGTGAGTGCAGGTCCCAGGAGGCCAGAGGCATCAGACCCCCTCACAGCTGGCTGTAATGAGCCATCTGACATGAGTGCCAGGAACTGAACTCAGGTCCTTTGGAAGAGCATGTAAGCACTCTTAACCTCTGAGCCATGGCTCCAGTCTCTGCCACACTCATTTTTTTTTTTTTTTTTTTTTTTTTTTTAGAGGGCACCAGATCTCATTATAGATGGTTATGGGCCACCTTGTGGTTGCTAGGAATTAAACTCAGGACCCTTGGAAGAACAGTCAGTGCTCTTAACCTCTGAGCCATCTCTCTACCCCCTTAGAGACAGGATTTCTCTATTTAGTTCAGACAGGCCTGGAATGATGAAGCCCAGGCTGGCCATGATGACCACCCTGTCACAGCCTCTATGTTCCCCAGAGACAGGGTCTCACTACATGGTCCTGCTTGGCCTTCAGCTCACGGAGATCCATCTGTCTCTGCCTCCTTGGTGCTGGTATTAAAGGTAAGTGATTAAAGGAGGCTGGAGAGAGAAAGCCTGGCAGTAGTGGTGGTGGCACATGCCTTTATTCCCAGCACTTGGGAGGCAAAGGTAGGCGGACCTCTGAGTTCCTAGGCCAGCCCGCTCGGCAGAGTGAGTTCAAGGCTGCGCAGAGAAACTTGTCTCGAAAAACCAAAGCAGAGCAAACCAAAACAAAAAAAGAGGCTGGAGAGATGCTCAGTGTTTCAGAGCACGCATTGTTCTTCCAGAATTTGCATCTCAGCACCCTCGCTGATGACAGCCTGTAACTCCAGCTCCAGGGGATCTGACTCCCTCTTCTGGACGCCCCCTGCACCTGCACCCATGTGCACATGTCTCCCCGTCCCCCATACACACATAATTAAAAATTAAAAATAAATCCTCAAAAGCAATTAAAGGCATGTGCCACCGTGCCTGGAATTCTGCTCACATTTTATTTCCTTTCCTCAGCTCCCTGCCTCTCACTTCTTCTTTCCTCAACCAGATTCTCCTGAAAGAAGGCTTACACCTGTAATGCAGCACTCAGGAGGCTGGGGTGGAAGGCTTGCTGCAAATTTAGGGCCAGCTTAGGCTAGAGAGTGAGATCCTGTCCATCCTCACCAAATAAACAACCTCCTCCTCTTCCCACATAGATCTTGGTGTTTTGCTTGTTGTTTGCTTTTTGGCTTTTGAGACAGGGTTTCACTGTGTAGGCTTGGCTGTCTTGGACTCCCTTTGTAGGCCAGGCTGGCCTCAAACTCACCGAGCTCCTCCTGCCTCTGCCTCCCTGATTGCTGGGATTACAGGGGAGCGCCACCATGCCAGGCTTCCACCTTTCTTTTGTGCTCCTTCCTCACCCTTTCCTCCTTCGTCAAATCCCACGTCGTGCCTGCCTTCTAGTATCCTTATCTTTCCTCTCCCTCCATCTTTCCCCCTCCTCACTTCCACACTTCCATCTCTGTACTGACGTCTTTTGGCAAGCTGAAGGCCATGCTAAAATATGAATGAGCCGTCTGCGCATGGCAGGCATTCTCGCCAGGAAAGGCAGAGTTGGTGGAGCAGCCCAGACAGCTGTGGGAAAGATGCCTCGTGGAGCAGTTGAGGAGGTGGGAAGCTCCATGTCACCACATGCACCAAAAACGACCTCTGGGCGGAAACTTGGTGCTCTTCCGTTTCATTGCAGATACGAGTGAAAGAACGGTTTAAAGAGGGAAAGAGAGGGAGGCAGAGATGACCAGCAGCATCCCCGGCAGATGAATCACACCGGGCGTTACTCACAGGGTTGAGCAGCGGGGCTCCCTCTACCGCAGCCAGAGTGCATCCTGGGAGGCGCAGGTCTCTCTGCGGGGCTGGGAAGAAGCCCAGGGGCCCCTGCCCCACGGTGGAGGCGGCCCCCAGCTGCCGCAGCTCCTCGATCACCACCTGCACGCCGCTGCCCACGCTGTCACATTCTTCCTCCACGGCAGACAGAGCCTTGCAGGCTTCCCCCGGGCTCCCCTTGAGCAGCCCAGGCTCTTCGGGCGGCGGGCTGCGGGCCCGGCTCTCCCCGTCTTCCTCTGCGGCGCATGCTTTCCCCTGCCGAAGCTCACCCACTTCTTCTTGAAGCTGTTTCAACAGCTCGTTGTTGGCCCGTGCGAGACCCAGCGCGGCCTCGGCCAGTCCCACGGCCTTGTCCACCCGCTGGTAGATAATATGCAGCAGCTGCTCAGAGCTCTGGACTGCCAGGCCATGTCCAGTCACCGTGATGGGGGTACCGGCAGGAGGGTTCCCGCCCTGAGGACCCGTGCTGCCCTGGCTGGTCTCGCTCTTGCAGGCACAGCAGCAGCATCTGGCTTCACTGCCACTGGGAGGGGAGAAGAGAATGGTAGCACTGAAGGACATGGCTGCTGAACTCAGGCCACTGTGCGCACGCCACTGGACCGTCTCACACGCGCTCCGCCGCCCAGTAAACGTGGGCCTCCGGATTCCCTGTCCTTTCTCATGCAAGGTGGTCAGAAGGGCTGGCGCTCCAGCTCGTGGGTTCTGTGGAGGGGTAGGCTAGCGGGTGAAGACACGCACAGTCCATGGTGGCTTCTGCTCAGCTTTCTGTTGGCAGGTCCTGTGCTCCCTGACACACCGCGCACACACAGCCTTCACTGAAAGAGTAAAGCAAAAACAAAGGTCTTCATGACGAGCACGGTTTCAGGGGATTCAAGGCATTCTTCTTGAACCTAAGCAAGAACACTCCCAACCTCCCCCCTCCCCCCGCAGCCCAGGGAACAGAAAAGGGACACCAGGAAAGATGAAAAGCGTAAGGAAGAAAATGAAGATCTAGTTCCTCCTTTTCTGATCCCTGCCGTTACTCCAGAAACAGTATTGCATCTTAATGCTTTGACGCCATTCTTTAAGGCGCTCAGAACACTTCATAGAGGCTGTCTCATCTACACAACGCTAGGTATGAAACTAGTATGAACCGGGTCCCAAGAAGATAAGGGCAGGGAAGTTGTCCGCCTTTTTATGGTCAAAGAAGAAAATAGAACCTGGTTATTGCTATTTTCAGTCTCTCTCTCTCTCTCTCTATATATATATATATATACACACACACACATTATATCATACATAAAAATAATACATATAAATTTAAACTGATAACAAATGGTTTGTTGACATAATTATTACACTATAATTTTCATACATGTGCACTCAAAGTAAAACTTAAGAAAGGTGCTGAAGAGATGGCACAGCTATTAAGAGCACTGACTGCTCTTGCAAAGGTGTAAATGTTTTTATTTCCTCAGATGAGGGGATGAGAGCCTTACCCAAGCTTTTTGTATTCACACCTTGGGCGGAGCCCAGAAGATTTCTACCTAACTATCCCTAGGCCTAGGCCTAGAACCTTCCAACCATCATACAGTCTAATCTTCTGAAAGCCTGAACCTTGAAGGCTTCAGTTTCCAGCCTCTGTCTGCTAACCTAGGCCTAGAATGTTTTCAGCCTTTGAGACTTACTGCTGAATAAGCTCACCCTTTTCAGTTCTTTCTGAACTCTGGCTGGCTGGTTCAACTCAGTTGTCCTGGCTGAAACTCCCCTCCAAGCTGAATGATTCATATTGGCTTCTCTGGCTTCTCGCTGAACTGCTCTGCTTGGAAAAACTGCCTCTGAGCTCTATGAACTGAAATGTACCAAACTGGGTGTATCCTGTCTCTGACTCACCCTGTCAAATCTGTCCCTCAGTTGGACATCATTGTTTGGAATGAAAGGTGTGCACTAAAGGCATGTCTGTATTCCAGCCAGAGGGAGTAGAGGTGTGTATTAGAGTCCAGCTGGATCACACAGACCTAGATCCCTTGCCAGAGTAGCCCTGCTGCTGTATTAAAATTCCTCTATACAAAGGACCCGGGTTCAGTTCCCAGCACCCACGTGTGGTCTGCAACTGGCTATAACTCCAGTCCCAAGGGATCTGATGTCCTTTTCTGACCTCTTTGGTTACCAGGCACACATGTAGCACACAGACATATGTGCAGGCAAAATACCCAAACATAATTAAAAACAAATACCCAGACATGATTAAAAATAAAGGAAAATTCAAAAATTCCGTGATGCACGCCTTTAATCACAGCACTTTAGGAAGCAGGTGGAGCTCTGAATTTGAGGCCAGGGTGGTCTACAGACTGAGTTCCGGGACAGCCAGGGCTACACAGAGAAACCCTGCCTCAGGAAAAAGAAAAACATTCACAGAGTAACAGAAGCTGGCCTTGAACATAGGATACTCCTGCCCCCACCCCCCACCATGTCTCCACCCTGTTTGTTTACTAGCAGTTTGAGGCAAGGTCTCCCTATGTAGACCAGGCTGGCCTCAATCTAACAGAGACCTGCCTGCCTCTCAAGCTGGGATTAAAAGCATGGCCAACACGGCCCTGGTTGGCCTGGTATTCATCAGGAAGCCAGGCTAGCCTGAAGCCGTGGAGTCCTCTTGCCTAGGTTTCCCTAGGTGTTGGGATCACAGGAACATGTCACCGGCTCCAGTCAACCTCCACAGTATTGCATTATTACCAGCTTCGGTTAGGTCTAGGAACTGGGGCCGGGCTGTCCTGGAGGACCCTCAGAAGTATATGCCTGGGCCTCAAGCCCTGGCAAAGGGAGCCAGATGTCTTGAGTTCACCAGGCAGCAACCCAGAGAAGTCACTTCTGGGATCCCTCATCTTCATTTCTCAGGATCCCTAAAGGAAGAGCTAGTGCCCAACAGGAACTTCTACTTGAGATGGCCAGCGGCCCGCCCTATAGAAAGAAATGGGGACAGCATTGACAAACCCCATGGCCTCTCTTTGGAGTCACTCTGTTCAAGTAACTAAACTACAACAGGAGCAGAGGCCTGGAGGCTAGTGGGTACTGAGTCACTAAGGCCACTCCAAGGGACTTAAACATTGTTATTTTCTAAGTGACGTTTGATTTTAGGAAAAGAATCTTTCAGCCTGAGGCTCTGTAAATGACAAAAATCTTAAGCGTATTTACGATTCCCTAACAAATACATTTCTATTTCACACTGTAATTTATCATAACATCATAATTAAAAATAATTTTCAGCCGGTTACGGTCGGTGGTGCACTCTAAGAGGCAGAGGCAGGTGGATCTCTGTGAGTTTAAGGCTAGCCTGGTCTATACAGTGGTCTATACAGTGAATTCCAGGACATCCAGAGCTATGTAGTGAGAACCTGTGTCAAACAAACACACAAAGAAAACTAATTTTTAAAAGCTTCTTATTTGCTCTTTTTCCCTTTGTATTGAGGAATAAGCTTCTCTAGGCTACATATTCCCTATAAAAACTTAACGGGCTGGATAGATTTCCTTATTTGTTAAGAGCATGGGCTCTTCCAGAGATCCTGGGTTCAATTCCCAGCTTCTACACAGCACTCACAAATGTCTATAATGCTACCCCTATGGGATCCAATGGTTCCTTCTAGTGTGCAGATGTGCATGCAGACAAAACATCCATATATAAAATATATATATATAAATAATAAATCTAAAGAAAAAAAAGAACTTAAATCCAGTTACAGCTTTCCTGTCATTAGAGTCACTGGAAAGCTAAAGTGAAACTAAAGGTTAACCCAAATTAGAACTAAAGGTTAAAGAAAACCGCTAGGCAAATTACATCAACTTGTGGATGGGTCATTTACATAATTATTCTTTTCCTTCCTAAACAAGGGCCTATTCTGCACATGAAGATCTGGGTGTGCACTCATGCGTGCAGGGACCAGAGGATGGTATCAGGTGTCCACCTCCAACATCCTCCATCCTTTTTTCTTTTGAGGCAGGGTCTCTCCCTGAAACTATAGCAAGTAACAGCGATCTTCCTGTCTCTGCTCTCCACAGCACTGGGTGCACCGGGCCAGCCTGGCTTGTCCTACCGGTGCTGTGATCTGAACAAGGGTCCCCCAAGGTTTCACCCACTGAGCTGTCTCTCCAGCCCTGAGATTCCCCCCACCCCCAGGCAGGGTTCCTCTTTGTAGCCCTGGCTGTCCTGGAATTAGCTTTGTAGACCAGGCTGGCCTTGAACTCACAGAGATCCACCTGACTCTGCCTCCAGAGCACTAAGATTAAAGGTGTGTGTCACCATGCCCAGTGAAAAAAATTTTAACACAATATAATGCAGACTTTAATCTTAAACATTGATCTTATGAGAAAAATGCTGTTATAAGGTTTTTGTTTGTTTTGAGACAGGTTCTTGGTGTTACCATGTGGCCCCAGCTGGCTGGCCTGGTACTCACTATGTGACCCTTTACTTAAGAAATTTTCCTGCCTCAGCGTCCCCAGTGCTAGTGTTACAAGCATATCCCGGCACATCTGGCTTAGTTGGGGTTTTTGAAGACAAAGTCTCACCATGCACCCCAGGCTAAATCTCAGACCTGCTCCATGGCTCAGGCTGACCATTCCAAGCTTCTTCTGGCTTAGTCTCCCCAATGGTGAGACTGCAAGTATGCACCACCAAGCCCAGCTTAATTTCGTTTGTTTTGAACCCCAGTCTTCCCGTCTCTGCCTGCTTTATATGTACAGAGACTGCCTATAACTGAAGAGGTGGTTCAGAGGACGAGAGCTCTTCCAGAGGAAGACCCGGGGCTCTTCCAGAGGACCTAAGTTCACATCCCAGGACCCAAGTCAGGCAGGTCACAACTAACTGTAACTTCAGCTCCAGGGGTTCCAGTGCCCTCTTCTGGCTTCCAGGGATACTACCCCCAACACGGACAGGCTAGAGAGATGGCTCAGCAGTTAAGAACACTGGCTGCTCTTCCAGAGGCCCAGGGTTCAATTCCCAGAACCCACATAGCAGATCACAGCTGCTCCAGACTGGGGCGCAAGTAACCCAGCAGTCTCTGAACCCCCTGTTTAGTAAGGAAAGCCTTGAACTCTTTATCTTTCTGCCTCCATCTCTCAAATGCTGGTATTACGGGCATACCTAGCTGTCTTATGTTTTACTGAGATAGAGTTTTGCTCTGCACCCAAACCTGCCTTGAACTCACTATGTAGGCCAAACTGGCCTCAAGCTTGCAGTAATCCTTTTGCCTTAACTTCCAAGTACTGTAATTACAGGTGTGTGCCACCATGCCTGAGATTCAGAATTTAAGGTCATCCTTGGCTACCAAAAGAAAAACCAAACCAAAAATATCTTGGGGCTGGAGAGATAGTTCACAGGTTAAGAGCACTTTGTTGCTCTTGCAGAGGACCAAGGGTCATTTCCAAGCATCCGAATGGATGGCTCATGGCCATCCTTAACCCCAGTTCCAGTGGGCCCAATGCCCTCTTCTCATCTCCCCTGGCTCCTAAACACACACACACACACACACACACACACACACACACACACAGACAAACACAAGGTGCACATAAACTCTTTCAAGCATATCACACATAAAATCAAAAACTTTGGGGGACAGGGGACAAGGTCTCTCTATGTAGCCCTGGCTGTCTTGGAACTCAATATGTGGACCAGGCTGGCCTTGAACTCACAGAGACCTGCCTGCCTCTGCTGGGATTAAAGCTGTGTACCACCAAGTACATCCAAATAATAAATCTTACAACCAATCAACAAACAAAACCCTAAATTAATGTGAGTCAACAGCATACAAAGTGAGATTCACTAAAATATACTTAGGAGTCA